AAACAATAAGTATCAGCGGAATACCATAAAAATGGCACAGAAGAGTGAATGGAACACAACCTAAATCCGGAATCACAAATAGAGCAAGGACAAGTAATAACTCAGCAACTACAACCGCTTTTACATCAGGTTTTAGTCAACAAGGTCCACGAGGTACCGAACCTCGGACAAAACACAACTCACGAGTTTCAATACCAGAACCCAACACTTGGCATCCTCTGCCCTCATAACACCTCATAACCGCACTGATGATTCGCGTGCCAATAGAGCCATTCTCACATAGAAGGCAAGTAAACAAGGGTGAGCATGTATGCTCAACAATATCAAGAATACCTCTCATCCGATAAGAGTGCTTAACTACATGTATGCTTGTGCAAGTGTCCTAACATAGTCCATACCAGCAAATAAGCATAAAGATAAATAAAAGAATAGACAACACGTAGAATATTTTTCTCACCACTTTCACAAGATAAAGCTCACATATGTAAGTGTACCACTACACAAATATCAACAACAATAATGCTCCCTGGACATNAATAGTAACAATAGCATGACAGAAACCTCGTGCAACCCCATAACAACAACCGCACGGCAGAAACTTCGTGCATCACAATAACCACAACAGCACGGCAGAAACCTCGTGCATCACCATAATAAGTACAACAACAACAATACAAAGTACGACAAATAAATCAACTCAAGAACTTTAAATCACAAGAAATGATAGAACCAATTCACAAGGAATAACCACAGTAAAGAATGCTAGGCGTAAAGAGATCAGCTTAACAAGGGAAAACTAATATGTAGCAACGATCCCACAATATACATTTTAACAACATGGAAGCTAACACGAGTCAAATAATTCCAAATAAAATATGTCGACTAAGATATAGGATATCTAAACTTCTTTTAAAGTTGAGAAATTACGAAAGATATTCAACAATTCAATTAAGGATAAGTAACATAAAGATAATCATAACCTCAATTAAGACTGAACAATTATAGGATGAGATAATAATGATTCCAAATAAAGATAAGCAGATATGAAAAGATAACATGGCAATAGAAGAGGTAAAATCTTCAGTTAAATCAAATAAGAGTGAATCCTGAACCAATTAGTTCTAATTAAAGCATGTAGAGGTGAAACTAGTAAATAGGAACTTAATCATATCAAGAACAACTTCATACTCGGTGAATATAAGGACCTAAGCATCCTAAAAGGCCAACTTTCCACAAATAAGCCCGAGCGCGCACTCGTCACCTCGCGAGTGCAGATTCCACTCAAAACTCAGTGTCCGCTTCTGCGATCCAAGGGTCGCACCTGCGGACCCATGTCTTCTTCTACGGTCCTTCACCACTCCTGCGATTGTTTCATCGCATTTGCGGGCATCGCAGATACGAAATTTATCTCGCACCTGTGACCCCTGGCACTCCTCCACTTTTTCGCTTCTGCGCTTGCCTCTCCGCACGTGCGATCCCGCACCTGCGGTCTCTCCACCACAGGTGCGAAAATACCAGATGCCTGAAGACTTCAGCAACAACACAAATCCAACTTTTGATCTGTTAAGCACCCGAAACTCACCGAGGTCTCCGGGACCTCAACCAAACATACCAATCAATCCTAAAATACCATACGAACTTAGTCGAGCCCTCAAATCACATCAATTAACGCTAAAATCATGAATAACCCTCCAATTCAAACTTAAATAACTTGAAACTTCAAATTTCTACAACCGATGCCGAAACCTATCAAATCACGTCCGAATGACCCCAGATTTTGCACACAAGTCATAATTGATATTACGGACCTATTCCAACTTTCGGAATCAGAATCTGACCCCGATATCAAAATTTTCACTACCGGTCCAAATCTCCAAAAAATCGACTTTCGCCATTTGAAGCCTATATAAGCTAGGGACCTCAAATTCACAGTTCAGACATGCTCCTAAGTCCAAAATAACCCAACGGAGCTAACGGGACCGACGAAACTCCATTCCGGAGTCGTATTCACATAGTTTCAACTACGGTCAAAATTCTAAGACTTAAGCTTCCGTTTTAGGGACTAAGTGTCCCAAATCACTCTGAATCATTCGGTAACTGAATTCAACCATGCGCGCAAGTAAATACACATAATACTAAGCTTTTGAGGGCCTTATGCCGCCGAACAGAACTTAAATTCTCAAAACGACCGGCCGTATCGTTACATCGGGAGACCCCCCCTGTACTGCATATTTACTTTAGGACTACGAGGAGGTTCCTCGGGAGATCCACATGTACTGTATATTTACTTTGGGACTACGAAGCGGTTCCTCGGGAGATCCCACTGTACTGCATATTTACTTTGGGACTATGAGGCGTTTACTCGGGAAATTCTCCTGTCTTGCATTTTTATATTTGGGACTATGATGCGGTACCTCGGGAGTGCCCCTGTTGTTTACCTCTAATTGCTGGGCTGTTATTTTTCTGAAACTTCTTGTTGTTTAAATTCTTAGTCATTTCAAAATATTATTATATCTTCTGCCTTGCTTATCTTTTAAACCAATAGGGCCCTGACCCCTCGTCACTACTCTACCGAGGTTAGGCTTGACACTTACTAGGTACCGTTGTGGTGTACTCATACTATACTATGCACATCTATTTGTGCAGATCCAGGTTCTTCCTACCAGGCCAGATACTAGTGAGCTGGACTGTACGTGAAGACTTCAAGGTATATCTGCTAGCGTTCGCAGACCTCGGAGTCCCCCTCTATCCTTATTATATTGTTTTCCTTATTCTCTTTAGATTTTGATGTATAGAGACACTTACTACTTTCTTTTAGAAACTTGTGACTTATTTCTACCGAGTTTTGGGAGTTGTAATTATTAAATCGTAGTTTCTATCTGCATATCATATGTTGAGATTGGAGTTTAATTTATTATTATGTTATTCCGCAAATTGTTAGACTTACCTAGTCGTAAGGATTAGGTGTCATCACGACATCATACGGAGGGTGAATTGGGATCGTGACATTCATTTTCTAAATTAAATGAGTTGTAGTTTACATAGAAATATCATTATCATGCCGTCCTTTACTTTTTCTTTGTAAACAATTTACTAACCGGGAAAAATAGATTGAAAATGGGATGTTGGAGCTCAATTCATTATTTCTTTGTTACATATTTACGAAGAATTTTTTTGAAAATACTCTTTCTTTTATGAAAAATTCATTCTCCTTGCGTTAACAACAATAACAACAAATTCAGTATAATCTCATATAATGGGTTTAAAATAAATAGCGTGTACGCAGTCTTACCCCTACCTTGTGAAGATAGAGATGTTGTTTCTTTCTCTTTGAGTTCTTATATAATTTGGAGCAATTAATCAGACAGGATATTTTTCTTCTTTCGTCCTACCTGGATATTCCTTTCCACCGCGGCACCAACTCACTAACTAACCAACCAGCTGACCTAAGCAATACGGTGCCGTAGTTAATACCTTTAAGAGGTTGTTTAGCCTTAGGAATAAATATCTTTTAGTAGGGTAGGATGATATTTGATTAAGTTATAAAAAGAGTATTTAAAATTGTGGCAGCTCGATGTATAAAATATCCGGCCTTCATAAAGGGTCCGGAAAAGATAGCCGTATCCAAAGGGGGTCTGATGTAGACAACCTACCTTGATGCAAGCATTAGTGGTTGATTTCACTGCTCAAACTCGTGATCTATAGGTCACAAGGAGACAACTTGACCGTTGCTCCAATACTCGCCTTCTAAAAATAGTATTTGAAATTAAAATTAAAAATCTATTTAAAAATTTGTAATTGTGTTTAGACATTATTCCACTTGTTTCCTAGTTCATTGTTAATGCATACTGGGCCGTCTGTTTCCATGTTCTATTATTTTGCTGTTGCTACTATATGTTTATTGCTTCTTTTCACTATTCTTGAGCCGAGGGTCTACCGAAAACAACCCCTCTATCTCTCTATTATAGGGGTAAGGTATGCGTACACATTACCCTCCCCAGACCCTACTTGTGGGATTTCATTGGGTATGTTATTGTTGTTGTTGTTGTTGTTGTTGTTGTTCCACTTGAGAATTTTTAATATTTTGTGAGTGAAAAGCATTTTTTAGATTGAAATGATCATCAAACAGGTTTTTTAATATTTCACCAATATATATTAGATATTATGTTAAATATTTGTAACTAGGGGTGGCAAAAGGCCTAATCGATAATGGGTAATGCAAAAACGGATAAATAATTCGATCAGAATTATATTTAATATGGAAAAAATGAGTTAACTGACTGATAATATGGATAATCATATTATCCATGACTTCTTGAATATGTTACTTTTGAGAGAATCTAGTCTCCCAAACTTGAGAAACCCCTAATTTGAGTCTTTGCAAATCTAAAAGTTAAACTCATTAGTTATCCATTAATTATCTATCTTTTAAGTGGATAATATGGATCTTATCCATACCATATTTGATTCATTTTAAAAAAATTTATTATTCAACCCATTTTTAATAGATAATATGAATTTTTAATTCATTTTGCCACCACTATTTATAACTTTTTTATCCGATGTCCTCGAAGGGACCCACTATTTGTAACTAATGAAGGTAAATTTTTAGTATAATTGATGTATCATTTATAAAGCATTTATTGTTAGTATAAAATTTTGTATTATTTCATACGTATTCTCCACATAATAACTTTGGTTTGAGTTATTAATCTCTGCATAATTTAGCATAGTTTTTTATTAAAATCTGAACACGATATCATCAATACAAGTATAAATTTTACGATATATATATATTTTCAAAATTCTATACATTATGAAACAAGAATAGTTGAACTAATAATGAGTGGATAAAACCTTAAAATAAACAATATTTATGATATAACTTATATATTATTATAATTAATCTATTATGATAATCTTGATACAATTGATCATTTACATAACCCAAACAATCCCTAGGAATTACTAATTACTAATAGAAAACATCGACGAGTACGCCAACCTCTCGTTGGCAGTTTCAGCCACTACCCTTTCACTCCCTCGACAAGTCCGCCACCAACCTCACCTTACTCCCATTTTCACTATATATCTCACTTCTTCATTTCCTTCTCAAAAAAATCTCTCTTTCTCCCTTTTTCCTTTCTACTTTCCTCCTAAAATTTTCTCATTCATTCCGCCATGGAAGGAGCTGCTACTGCACAAGCTCTATCTCGTATTGGGCTAGCTGGTCTAGCTGTTATGGGCCAAAATCTAGCCCTAAATATCGCCGAGAAAGGGTTCCCGATTTCCGTTTACAACAGAACCACTTCTAAAGTTGACGAAACCCTAGATCGCGCTCAACGCGAAGGTCAACTACCTTTAACAGGTCAGTACAATCCGCGTGATTTCGTGCTGTCGATTCAACGGCCCAGATCTGTTATCATCCTCGTTAAAGCTGGGGCCCCCGTTGATCAGACGATTGCAGCTTTAGCTGAACACATGGAGCCTGGCGATACGATTATTGATGGCGGTAATGAGTGGTACGAGAACACTGAACGGCGTATTGGTGAAGCTTCGAGTAAAGGGCTTTTGTATTTGGGTATGGGTGTTTCTGGTGGTGAAGATGGGGCCCGTAATGGACCCTCGCTCATGCCCGGTGGGTCCCACGGGGCTTACATGAACATCAAAGACATTCTCGAGAAAGTTGCGGCTCAAGTTGAGGACGGGCCATGTGTTACTTACATTGGCGAAGGTGGGTCGGGTAATTTCGTGAAAATGGTGCATAATGGGATTGAGTATGGTGATATGCAGTTGATTTCGGAGGCGTACGATGTGTTGAAGAATGCGGGTGGGTTGAGTAACTCTGAATTGGCGGATATTTTCGCTGAGTGGAACCGTGGTGAACTGGAGAGTTTTCTGGTTGAAATTACAGCGGATATATTCAATGTGAAGGATGAAAAAACCGGGAGTGGTGAGTTAGTGGATAAGATTTTGGATAAGACGGGAATGAAGGGAACAGGAAAATGGACTGTGCAGCAGGCAGCTGAGCTGTCAATTGCAGCTCCCACAATTGCTGCTTCGTTGGATAGTAGGTATATGAGTGGGTTGAAGGAAGAGAGGGAAGATGCAGCAAGGATTTTTAAGAAGGAAGGATTAAAGGAGGAAATAAATTTTGATGTAAATGGTAGTAGTGTTGATAAGAAGAGATTGATTGATGATGTGAGGCAGGCATTGTACGCGTCGAAAATTTGTAGTTACGCTCAGGGAATGAATTTGCTGAGGGCAAAGAGTGCTGAGAAAGGGTGGAATTTGAATTTGGGAGAGATGGCGAGGATCTGGAAAGGTGGGTGTATTATCAGGGCAGTGTTCTTGGATCGGATTAAGAAGGCGTACCAGAGGAATCCCGGGTTGGCTAACTTGATGGTGGACCCGGAGTTTGCAAGGGAGATGGTGCAGAGGCAAGCCGCGTGGAGGAGAGTCGTGGGACTGGCTATCCAGAGAGGAATTAGTGTTCCTGGAATGTCTGCGAGTCTTCAGTATTTCGATACCTATAGGCGTTCTAGGCTTCCCGCAAACCTCGTGCAGGCTCAAAGGGACTATTTTGGGGCACATACTTATGAGAGAGTTGATATGCCAGGAGCATACCATACTGAGTGGTCAAAGCTTGCTAGGAAGGCCAGAGTGTAATGCTGCTGCAGCTGTTGCCGATTATGATAGAAATCTGGTATTAGTTGGGCTTTGTCAACTATAGATTCTGAATTGTGCTATTCAGGCATTTAAAATTTAGAATGTGACTTGTTGAGAATTTTTACTTGTTGCTAGTTTTGCAGTTAATAATGTTGTATGCCTTTGAACATTACAGGGCCTTGGCAATTGAATGACTTCTTTATTGAAGTTAAAGAAGTTGCATTTCCTACATTATGCATAAATGTTCCCTGCATTTTAGTGATCCCAATAAATATGGGTTCTTTCAGCTTCTCCTATCTCCAAACTGCTATATCTGATATTTGAAGATATGATGATATAACGAGTCTTATGTGTTTGTCTTCAGTGCTCTGCGCCGGTAGCCTTATATGTATGTGTACATTGATTTAAACTAATGAACTTAGTTGAGAAGAATAATTTACCGTGAAATAGAGTATAGTTGTAATGCTGAAAGAACCTCAGGACTGTGGATAAATTATGCCGCAATGCAACAACAACAACAAAATCCCACAAGTGGGGTCTGGGGAGGGTAGAGTGTACGCAGACCGTACCCCTAACCCAGAGGGGTAGCCTTATATGTATGTGTACATTGATTTAAACTAATGAACTTAGTTGAGAAGAATAATTTACTGTGAAATAGAGTATAGTTGTAATGGTGAAGAACCTTAGGGCTGTGGATAAATTATGCTGCAATGCATCAGTAAAAATGTGGATTAAGCAAGGAATGCTTAAATTGAAAGGGTAAACAATCATGAGTATGTGGTCAGGTGGAAAATTGTATAAGGCTCTATCCCTTTGATTGTGGATGGAAGAATAGGAAGGAGGGAGGGGAAGGAGATGAGAAGTGGCAGTGAAAGGCAACTGCCTGGTCATTGGAGGCAAGAAGCGGAGGAAGGATAAGAAGAGGCAATACTTAAAAAAAATAGGTTACTTCTTGATTAGTGCCTAAATTTAAATTTATCAAAGAGGCATTGGGTATAAGACCTTCTGATCAGAAATTGAGGTTTTTTTTTTTTTTTCAATTGAGCCCCCCACCCACCTCCCCACGCCAAACTCTTGTTCTTATTGCTCTCCACTGCTCTCTCTGTTTCTATTCTACCTAAAAAGGAAAAAATTCATTGACTTTTGCTTTTGCGCTTTAATGTGGTCAGTGAGAATTGCTATAGCCGATTCCAACATGTATGGGATTGAGGCGTAGTTGTTTTTGTGCTTCTTTACCATTTCTCAACAGGTGTTTCTAAACTGCCACTTCCAGAGTTTCTTTTTTTCTTTTCTTGGTTTTTATCCTTACTAATGATTCCATCTTATTAAAAATTGTTACAAATAACATGATTCCTGCAGTCCTATGCATGCCATGTCTAACTTTTTCTAGAACCTGCATATCTGCTAGGTTTATCCTATTTAAGCAAAATCTTTGTAAATATATTTAAGGTTATTCATTGACATATTCACGGAAAACCGCTGCGTTTGATGTAGTTTCAATTTGGATATTTTCAGATTTTTGTGATTACTTTCAGTAACTATAGTTTTGCCCGACTGGGGTCTAAACCATTTGAAATTCTTTAAAAATGCTCTGGTCTTATGACTAATAAGAATTGGGGTTGATTCCTGTTCTCTTTTTGATAGTTACAGGATGGTTTTCAAGTATTTCCCATAAATCAAAATACATTCTCTCACCTCAAGAAATTGATATTACAATCAAGATTGTTTTACTTAATTTTTCTTTTCTGCCAAGTGATCGTGCAGTTATGTCTGTAGTGCATGTTAATCGATTGTGGAGTAAATGATGGGTACATTTCTCAGCTTGACGTGCTTATGTGATTGGCATTAAAGTTCTTCTGCAACTGGTTTTCATCAACATCAAGCTTATTCTTTGAGGGTTTTCACTTATGAATGTGACATTTAAATAAATGCCTTCTCCTACCTTGGATGCTTAAGTTTTTCCTTGCTGATATTCACAGATATCTGTGATATAGACTTTCAATCTCCCATTTTCTCGGTGATGAAGATGAAGTACCCGAGTTAAGTTCTGAATACCAGTGTTCCTCCATTGACAGTTTGCCCTTGAAAAGATTGATCTCTTATGTGGATTTGCCTTCATCAGGAATTTGTTTGTTCTAGCTTAAAGTCAGATATTCTGTCTCTGCTTCTCTGAAAGAACTTTAGTTCTATCCTTTACTGCTCTCTGTCTAGAGTATTGTCCCCTCCTCTTTGCACGTATCTTCAACATCATTGTTAGTTTTGAAGCTTTGATGCCAACATAAATGACATAATGCAGTGTAGGGTTGTAATTAATAATATTCTTATTGACTGCTTCTGGGAGCATCTTGCTTTTGAACTCCAACTGTAGAGCACTACTGCTTTTGAGAATACTGGATTAAATTTTGGTGGCTAACAGTGTCTAATATTCATGCTGTAACTATAAGATGTTCTGCTCCTTAATTTTTTTTCTTCTTCTGCATTGTGGTTACTAGATTGTTTTTCAGTGAGAAAGAGCTTGATCCGCTTATTACCATGTCCAGGTTTCCATTTCACTTGACCCTAGGAGTCTTGTGGTGTCTCTGAAAACATAACATATGCCTAGCCTTCCCCCCCCTTTTCTTTTTCTTTCTTTGTTCTCCCACCTTCGAGCTTCTACTTATATATTAAAGGCATATTAACATAGCCTTCCCTGTCAAGGCTGCATCTAATTTTCCCAAATGTCTTTCATTCTTTATCCGTAGTTTGAGATGAAGTGTTCCTTGGTTTCTGGTACTAGTGTCAGTTTGTGGCGTGGAAGTTGGGGGTTGGGTCAAGACACGTTAATATTAACCATGCGGTTTAGCTATAATATTTTATTTTATTCTTTATGAACAATTGTTTATTTGATTTATTCAATTCAATAAAGTATTATTTTAAATAAATTATTTGTTACATGTGTGTCCTTTAATTATGGAGTAGATGATTTAGTGTATGGAATTTTTCCTTTCAGGAGAAGTGATCATTGAACAGGGGCATGTAGTAGGCCAACTTTATTTTGTCTGTCATGGTGTTCTGGTACATTGCTCTACCATTTACTATTGCTGCTCGGTATCTTTTTTCATGAAACCATTTATTATATTCTTTTGTCATCTCAGAAAATGTGTATTCTACCATATGTTAGCTTAGGTTTCCAAATCATATTAATATCACTTGTTCTGTATCTATTATGGACTTGGTTCCGGAACTGCAGCTAGAAAATTGTTAGACTATGATGATGTCATCAGCACTCTAGAAAAGGAGAGAAAATAGCAATTTGCTTGTTTTCTAGTTTTCCATTGCTCCAAAATTTTTGCAGATCTTACAACTGCTGACTTATCTATTATAATGTTTAACGTCGAGTTGCAGCTAATAGTTTGAGACTTATTGTGGTTATCTCGGTCCAGGAGGAAATTGGTATTGGGAAAAGATAAGATGGGTCAGAAGAGACAGTAGCACTTCTCGAGCCAAATAGCTCGTTTGGAGAAATATCCATTCTTTGCAACATTCCACAACCATATATTGTTCGTATTTGTGAACTATGCAGACTCATAAGCAATCGTTTTCAAATTTTTTGGAGATCTATTTTCATGACGGGAGAAGAATTTTGACTAACTTATTAGAGTTAATCTGTCTTCGGTAATGGGTAGCATGCCGTTCTCGACCCTTACTAATTGTATTTCTCCTTTTGGGCATTAACTGCTTTTGCATTAGAAATGCTTATGGACTCAAAAGGCCTAAAAGCAGTCTTAACTGACAGGGAAAGGATTCTGATCTTCGCGTGAAGCAAGTGGAGTCAGATATTACATTCCATATTGAATGAGCTTATGCCCCTAATCTTGAACGGACCAAGTAGAAAAAAAATATTTTTGTACTGAATATATAAAACATTTTTTCTGATTCATTGAATGAGCTTATACTCCTAATAATTAGTTGATAGAATCCATGACTCGAACTTGAGTTTGATAATACCCTTTTATGTAAGCTTATAAGTTTTCATGTGAAAACCTGGTCAGTGAATTTTGTATCCGTCTCATGAAATAGTTTAAGCGAAATTATAAAGGATTTAATTAGTTGATTAAATTAAATTATCAATGATTTAGTTTAATTAACTAGTATTTGTAATCTTAACACGGGAAGTTAAAATAAGTGTTAGGTGAATTTTGAAATTCATATTGAGGAGTTCAATTGCAGTTTTTAGTGGAATAAATTGTGATTAATTATAATAAAATTTAATTCATCCGAATTTCAAATTAATACTATAATTTGTAGCCTCTTATTACCTATGTGGTCCCTGCTATACCGAGTGTAATGATCCGACCGGTCGTTTTGAGTATTATAACCCCGTTCCTCCATTTACTGTTCAATTTATGCTTTACAGTCGTTTTATGACTTACCAGATTAGTTGGTTCGGGTCCGGAAGGAATTCGGAGTGAAACGAGACACTTAGTCTCATAATTGAAAATTTAAGTTAGAAAAGTTGACCGGATGTGGATTTATGTGTAAACGACTTCGGATTCGAATTCTGATAATTTCAATAGCTCGGTATGGTGATTTTGGACTTAGGAACGTGTCCGAAAAATTATTTGGAGGTCCGTAGTAGAATTTGGCTTGAAATGGCAAAAGTCGAATTTATGGAAAGTTTGACCGGGGAGTTGACTTTTTGATATCGGGGTCGGAATCCAGTTCTGAAAATTTTCATAGCTCCGTTATGTCATTTACGACTTGTGTGCAAAATTTGAGGTCAATCGGAATTGATTTGATAGGTTTCGGCATCGAATGTAGAAGTTGAAAATTCTTAAGTTCCTTAAGCTTGAATTGGGATATGATTCATGGTTTTAGTGTTGTTTGATATGATTTGAGGTTTCGACTAAGTCCGTATGATGTTATAGGATTTGTTGGTATGATTTGACAGGTCCCGAGGGGTTTGGGTGTATTTTTTTTTGGATCATTGATTGAGAGACTAGTAAGGTTAAGAAATTTGAGAGTTGGACCATGGTCAATATCAGGTCAAAATGACCTCTTTTCAGTGTTTTGAGTGCGCGAGCAGGTCCGTAGCGTGTTTTATAATTAAAATTCATATATGGTTTGTGTCCGGGAGGTTTCGGATGGTTAACGAATCAAAAGTTGGACTTAAACAACTGCCGTAAAAGTTGCTGCAATTTTTATTCTACTGGAAATTCGTGGGCAGGACCGAAGGTCGAGGACCGATCCAAGGCCGAAGACTGACCAAAGGCCGAGGACCTGGACAAAACTGTAAGTTATAAAGTAGGGGA